ACCCAAACCATGGTATTTTCAATAGCCCAATGGTGTGAAACTGTAGGATAAGTACTCAACCTCAAGGTTGGTTTGAAACACAGGGTGGGCAGTTCAAACTCACCAGCTGCTCCTCGGATACTCTATACAGGGTCCGTATGAGTCTGAACCAACTTCTATGGCACATCACAAAAATAACATACACATGTGAAAATTGAATGCTGAATAAGGAAGACAGTAGAAGAATTGATGCATTTGAGTTATGGTGTTGGATAAGAATATTAAAAGTACTAAAAACAAACAAATCTGTGTTGGAAGAAGATAGGATGGTGCGAGTTCATCTCTCATACTTTGGACATGTTATCAGGAGGTATCACACTCTGGAGAAGAACATCATGGGCAAAGATGAGGCATTCTGCTCCTGCAAAAATTTACAGCTTTGGAAACCCTATACAGGGTCTCTATGAGTCAGAACTGACTTGCTGGCATTCAACAACCCTATGTGAAGCTTAAAAATAGCACTAAATCTCTACTTAGTAAAAATATTCTTGCATGAAATCGTGATAATATGAACTGTGGTTGTTTTTAAGTGCCGTACAAAGGGTCCCGACTTTTAGCAAGCTAGTATAGGGTTACCAAGGGATGACTGGTGGGTTTGAACCACAGATCTTAAAGATAGAAGTACAGTGTGAATCCTACAGTACCACACAAGGGCTTAGGCATGTTAATTATTAGTATCTAACTTAAGTACCATGGATCACCAAAAGAACAAGCAAATCTGTGTTGGAAGAAGTATAGCCAGAATGCTCCTTAGAAGCCACAATGGCCAGACTTTGTCTCTCATACTTTAGACATATTATCAGGCAGGACCAGTCCCTTGAGAAGGACATCTTGCTTGGTAAAGTAGAGAGTCAGCGAAAAAGAGGAAGCCCTCCAATGAGATGAATTGGTACAATGGCATCAGTAATGGGCTCAAGCAAAGCAATAATTGTGAGGTTGTTGCAGGACCAGGCAGTGTTTCGTTCTGTTGTGCATAAGGTCGCTATGAGTTGGTAGCAACTTGAAGTCACCTAACAACAACTTAAGATAGGAGAAGGACATCATGCTTGGTAAAGTGGAGGGTCAGCGAAAAAGAGGAAGACCCCTACACAGATGGATTGGCACAGTGGCAGCAGCAATGGGTTCAATCGAAACAAGGATGGTGAGGATGGCAACAGGGCCAGGTAGTATTTTGTTCTGTTGTACATAGGTTACAATGAGTCAGAACCCACTCGACGGCGTAATTTAGAGCTGTGCTGTCCAATATGGTATCCTCTAGCCACGTGTGGCATAGCTAAGTGCCTT